ATTTCTTAAGATTACCCTTTTGTCGCCATTGACAACCTTTATTTTGAAATGGAACAAGCATTTGCTTTCAGATTTGATAAAAAAAAGAAAGAAAAAAAGAGAAAAAAAACAATTCAAAAGGCGGTAATGAGCGAGATCTCAGAATTAAGTACCGGTAAATTCTAGCCTACGGCTACACATTGGGTCACGACGGGAAGAAGATTAGAGAAGAAAAAGCGGCCGAATTTCATCCACATAAAGAGACTGTCTCATTTCAGTTCATTTGAAAGATGTTATGGAAAGTGAAGAATGAAAATGAGTTTGTTATCAAGATGGTGTATTATCTGTGAAATTCCCCTCTTGTGGTGGTAATATCGTGGAGTTTACCACCACGAGGATCGATCTCCTGTATCACCTCAATCTACTTTTAGATTGAACATTTCGCGAATCGCTTCGATTCCAAAACCGCCAATTATATGGCGGGACACGAGTAAGCGCAATTTGCACTGAATATGATTGAGAAAGCCGCTCATTCACCTCCCGCTTGTGATATTCAACCGATTAATATAAAAAATTCTACAATATCACAACTTATCAAAAGAATCCTTAATCGGATGTCAATTTCGGAGTTCAAGTATTGTTGAAACCAATGGACCTAAAAGAGATCCGATAGGCCTGAGGTATACAATTCACATTCAAATTAGGGAGCTTCCAGGCTATAATATATAAATTCAATAGGCTATAAGACAAAACTATTGAATATTTTTGTACTTTAATTTGTAGGCTAGTTTAATTAATCTTCTGTGTCGTTAAGCAATTCTTGTACCGGTAGAACGGCTTGTTATCACAAGTGATCAAAATAACGCATGATTGAATGGTTTATTCTTTATAAGGAAACTTTGTCAGTTGATTGCTTCCGTTACACTGCTATATCCTGCATAGAATKAGGGCTTATAGCACATTCGAAACGCAACGCGGCAATTGCTCACTCACTTTTTTGGTCACCGCAAAACTCGGATATATTAGATTAAAAAACCCGTTGATCCGTGCCGATAAAAACGGCAAGAAAACGTTAAAGCACATTTAATTGGCTATTTGATCGGTCATTGTATCAAGCGGAATGCTTTTTACTTGGCAAGGATGTGCCGGATAACTCACATTTTATAATCAASCTCTTACYGAACGACGGGTATGTTCTTCTTTGCTGTGCTATGTAATCTGACAACAAAATCGTTGCCARTACCACAGATTAACAGAAMTGAATTCTTTTTTTTTCTAGTCTCATTCACGGGCTCATTCAGGTAAAAATCATTGTTCGTTCTTCTTTCAGCTGTGATGGGGTCAAGAATAGGAAAACACAAAGTSTTTCTTGGACCAGGTAAAACATTGGTTTAGTACACATCAATGATTAATATAATAATTAATTACGTGCTTATTACTACGCAGTTCTAGTCACCCGTCACTCGCAAATCGTAAGATATGATTAATTCCATGCCTAAGTTTTGTCGAAGCATTTGAAGTACCATCTAAAGAACAAAGTGTGAAGTAGATGAAAATAATCAGAGAAACCGCCTATTCCTGCCAAAAAAAGTCATATGCTTACACTCAGTTTCGCTGTTTCGTTTTTAAACAGTTTTGRCATAAGTCTTTTGCTATGCTTTCTATCATACCAAGCGTACGTCCTATCAATAGCCCGCAATATCAGAAATAAACGGTCGGAACTGAACAGTGTGGGCGTTTCTACGGAAACGAATTCATTGAAAAAAAATTGTTTATCATCATGGAGAAGGTATTGTTATTACACATTCCAATCACTAATATCCAAAACCACGTGAACGGTAGCAACGAACTCATCCGGTAGATATACGTAAAGTAAACGTTAGATAAGCAATGAATTAATCATTATCAGAAGTTTGCTGGACCTTTTGTATTGATACCACGTTAGAACGTCTGTATGTTGGCAGTACGTTATACTTTTTACATATCAGCTGAACGTTGGACCTTTTGCAAAAACCGCACGTTAGACCTTGGGATATGATCAGCTGAACGAGAGACGGCTTTAGCGGCTGAACTTAAGATCTTTTATATCAACTGTTCGTTAAACGTTCTTGTATCAGATGAATGTTAKTCATTTTGTATCAATTGTACGTTAAACGTTTTGTATATCTAGACCTCTTTCATAAAAGCCCAATACGACCATCGATTTTATACTTTATATATTATGGAAATATTCAACACTGTCATATGGAAGAATTATTAGAAATAGGTATTCATGGAAAGTTTCAAAGCCATAAACTAAATAATAACAAAGTTATGGAGGAATAAAAATGCATGGATTTGTATTGGAATTCTGGTGACTGGGTAGCCTCGTTTTTTTAAAAATTCGTACCTCTTCTAACCCTTATAACTAACTTCAAGAGGATTCAATATTTATCTTATTTTTAAAATTTTCAGAGTTTATCTTTGGCTTTGATATCTACCATTTGAGTCTTTTCTTTTGTCAGCATTATGAATTGAGATAATATGCTAATGGTGTCGGCCACAGTCTCACGCCTGCATTAAGTCAGTCACGTCTGTTGCATTTTACATGTTGCGCGTTTGATATACGTTAGACGTTGCGCGTTTGATATACGTTAAACGTTGCGCGTTTGATATACGTTAGACGTTGCGCGTTTGATATACGTTAGACGTTGCGCGTTTGATATGCGTTAGATGTTGCGCGTTTGATATACGTTAGACGTTGCACGTTTGATATACGTTAGATGTTGCGCGTTTGATATACGTTAGATGTTGCGCGTTTGATATACGTTAGATGTTGCGCGTTTGATATACGTTAGAGGTTGTGACTCTGTAACGACTCTACGTTAGAAAATCTATCAACGCTATGGCGATCTTTTCCGGCATCAGATGCTCTACAGCTGTAAAACTGAGCCATCTGTACGTCGGTCTGTGCCCGGAGTAAATGTACCGGGGATGCTGGTCAGAAATTTTCACTAAAAGACCCGGCCCTAAAAGATCCCGGAAGTCTTGAAAAAAGGACGTTGCTTACGGATTTTTAACCCCTAAGCGATTGCACAACAAATATTGTTAAATAAGCTCAAATGCTAAAACGCAAAGGAAAATCAATATCGATGCGTTCTTTTCTTCTTTTCCGACACCCTAAGAGATTGCAGAAAATGCAAATTTCCAGAAACTCTAAATTAGCACCCTAAAAGATTCCAAATCACGAATTTTTACCCTAAGAGATCCGACAAGCATCACCGGTACTTTTACCCCGGAGTCCCCCGGGGATCTGTGTCAGTTACAAAACGTCTCTTTTATTAAAATACGTAAGTACGCACTGCGTTGGTTCCCAAATAAAATCAACCACTGACGATCTTTGAGCACCCTAGTTCTTATATCAAAAGRAAATACTCAAATTTTCTATTATCATCTTTATTGTTAATAACTAAAATGTTTTTGATTATATATATTTTCACAACAAAACGATTAAAAAAGCGTGTCAGTTTGAGCTAACAATRTCATGTCCGTTAATTTGCAAAACGATGATGCATTAAGAGATTTTATAGAGCTGACCCTTAGATCTGCGGTTTGATTTGGTACGCCCCTTCCGTCTCAAGTAGGTATATTTTTATCCTTTTATTTTAGTATATACCATTAACCTTTCCAATGCTTAAGTCATGAATTCGTGATCGTGCATTTAATCTCCATCCTATTTAAAATGGCCACTGCGACTCCATTGCCAATAAATACATAACTGCGTTTACACGCTGACGGGGTCCTTGTCAAACTTTTGTAGCTTCATAGGACATTCAATTTTCACCCCGTGCCCGGCGAATCCATAGTTCCTGAGTTTTATCATTTAAATGACAGTCTGTAAGACGGGCACCAGTCGATCGGTTTACTTCATGTTCGATAAGGAGAGGGTGTATTTGATCTATTAATCATCAATTATTTAATTACAGTGTATGCTGAAAGTGATAGTAGTTCTTGAGCGGTAAATTTTCTTTTATCCATGAGATTTCCTTCCGATGGATTAAGGTCAAGATAATGTATCCTGATGATGTGACTTGAACAGAACGTTTCATTGCAGCAGAATTGATGCCATACTTAGGAAAAAGAAACAATGATTATTATTATTATTATTATATTAAGATCGGTTACGGGCAAAACAATGTCAGAATGAAAAACTGCTAGCAAAAGTGAGATAATCCTAGCATTAAGTATTAATCCCGGTATTAAACAAAACTTGGTTGGTAAAACGATATGATTTGAATACCACAATTGAAAACTGTCATTAACACGCACAAGCCCAAAATCATTAACTTGGCGAGCTCAAGAATTTAATGACAAATCCATACAAGTAAATACGATCAATGAGATGATCTCTCTTTCAGTGTAGTCACGTCTGCTGAGTTTTCTAAAAGGCCGCACTGATGTGTCCGATTAAGGAGTCAAGAAGCGACTTCCTGACTGGTGGCCTTTAACACATACAGCTCTAGAACCGTTTATTGATCTTTCGTCTAACATCGCTAACCACTTGCATAGTCACGCTACATTGTAATAGTTGAAGGACCAAATCAAGAGTAGAACATCCCAGCATGTGCTCAGTAACATGTCGTAAGTGTCGGTGTGTCAGCGAGGAGATATCACTTTACTTCCATGATGTTAGCCCTGGGTTATTTAAAAGTTACAAGTGTATAGATCGATGACGAAGCGAACTTTTTTTTTTAAAAAAAAAAAGAACAGTTTCGACGCCGAATCTTGCCAATAAAGATTGCTGATACAAGTGATAGTGTTCTCGCCTTGTTTGAGAGAACGTCGAGCCTGTGAAGAAAGCCTCCTCTTTGGTTATATCACGTGAGAAGTTTTTTCGCGCGCTCAGTTCCGATCAGAATTTTGCGCTAAGGCCAGGAAGCCACCGTTACTACGTCATCAAAATGTCGTCATTGCTGCCCACATGTTGGTAAGGCTTATATTTGTCTAGCTCATTATTTGAGATCACTAGTGAAAAGGTATAAAGAACCAATTATAAAAGAAAGTAATTAAATGGCTTCACTGATCCATGAATCGTAGCATTGTTCATTGATCACCAGGTCTATTGACAACGCCTCCTCCCAGTCAAAGACAAAAACAATAGATTTTCTGCAGTGACAAACATTCGAGAGTCAGTAAAAAAACACAGCTCTTTGCTAATTCTCTCAAGACTAAGTTCTGTTATTGCTGTAAAAGAACTATTTCCTGYCCTGAAGTACATGATACTAGTAAAATCCTGTGGGGCGATACGTGCAGACAATTTGGCGCAACTTCCACTCCTTTAGTTAACCAGCGAACTATCGACATCCATACACATGATGTTCTTGATGACTGTAAGGCTTCCGGGCTTGTTTACTTCAGTAATCCTCTGTTTTATAATTCTTTGTTATTTTTGTGACATATTTGATTTGGTAAAAATCCGGAAATGACGAAAGCATTTCAATGTGTGTTGATATTGTAAATCCAACACAAACCATCAAAAAAAATGCATTATTCAAGACAGGTAGATAAACTTGAGCAATGACAATCAGTACATCATGATGATCCAAGTAGATATACCGAGGAAGATTCTCTCGGAAACGAACTATACATTAGCCTGATCAACAGTGCAATAGTTTGATAGTATCTTATCGAGTCATGGAATTTCAAAGATCTTTTTGCAGTATTCTTTTTTTCGTCACGTCCATATACAATATTTCCGGAACGAGGGAAATTCTCGCCCATGGAGGAGGTTTCCATAACGCAACTGCGATAATAGCGAAGCAAAGAAATGAGCATTCATAATAGTCCTGCAGTTCAGTAATCCCGATTAGATAATGACTTTTCAAAAGAATCAATTCGAACTTATCTTAAAATCCTACTGGTGAGTACGGAACATAGCTATCCCTCGTGCCTTCTGTAAACATCATACAGAGAGAGTAGTCAGTATAAGAATCTGAGGTCGTCTAGACGTGTAATGCGTTCTTGTTCTGTTTGATCATCGACTTATGATCAGATCATGGTTTTCCTTGCATGTCGTTAGTAGTCCATCAATCACGCGGGACCGCGCCTACCATTCACACGATTATTGAAGATATCCCAATAGCTTTATCTCGAACAGTACGACTAGGTGTTTGTAATTGCAGCCCGTTAGCACTTTTTATTGTTCAATGGTTCGCTAGTTTGCTATCAACTCACACTGACCACTGTCAAAGGTTTCATCATAGTGGTGAAAAAAGCCGACCAAGGAAGCCGAAAAACTACACCAGAATAGCGGGACGTTTGATTCTCGAAAATGAAAAAGATAAACAGGAAATTAAAACAACAGCGATGTAGCAGAACTGGCCGAGGTAAGCGCAAGAGATTGTAAATCTCAGCAACTGAGCAGAACATGACTTTTCGTTCTTAATTGAATTTCGGCATGCAGTTAAACACAAGGGAMTGGTTCGCAAGTCAACTCATACTTGTTAATCTGTTGTTCTAGATCATGGTTTCGATAAGTTTTTCTGTCTAAGAAATACGGATGTATTTGGWGGTAATAGTTTATTCGTGGCGGATTCGTGGAATATGAATGGAGTTGTCAGCTAAAGCACTCGCCGCCATATTCTACAATACCGCGGCACAAAGCGCTAAACAAACAAGAAAATTTTCAATATATGACTCCAGCGAAGTTGATAGCGACGTTGCCGCGAAGTTTAGAAGCCGGTCTTGTTTAATCCAGTGGGGTGATATTTTGCGTCTACGCACCACGGGGGGCCAAGGACAAGTAGAAAAGAAATTCAATGAAAAATATTATAAATATGCGCTAGCATGATACTCTCGCAATAAGTTTTCGTTATAGAAGATTGTAGTAAGATAAAATACCATTCTTGATTTAAATATTAATTACAGTGTGTTTATTAAGGACGTCCTATGGATAAAAGTGAACTGACTGTTTTATTATAGCAACGAGCGATGAGTTCAATGCTGGATGTATTTTGTTTTCTGTTATCGGCAGCCTTTGATATATCTTTGATTCTGATAGCCTTCCAGAGTAGCTTACCACGCTGATCGGGGGTCGAGTATAACCTGAACTCATCTTCCTTTAGAAATTAGTACTTGAGCGTAATTGGCTACTTTTAATATGAACCAATCAGATGGCTGAGTTTGCTCATTAGGGTTTGATTAGAACAATCGAATCAGTTGCTGTCAATAGCGTCAAATGACAGGACAACGAGCCGCGCTCACCGCCTTCAAAGCTTCCGACACTAAGCTTACGGTCGAGCGAAAAGCATTCACCATCCTTTCTATTTAGCGACCGTACGACTTGCGAGAACAGCGAATCCACAAAGAGTTCGACACAAATCAACTTGCTAAAGGCCTAAAAAAGACATGTAGTAGTGTGGTGATGGGCAAGAGATACAGTAAGCAAGGTATTTCGGCGGGGTTTTCCTTGACTTAATAGCAAGAACATCTTATTCAAGTCGTTGTTCTTACATGTCTTCGGTGGAAAGCGCGATTATTAAGATAACATGTCTTTATTGTGAAAGTCTATGTGTCCTTATCGATGTCTTTCTTCTTTTCGTTTTTAGCGTGGATCTCACGAGAAGGACCCGAAGGTAAAGCATGTAATCTAAATACTTTGTTTTAACGAGCGTTGTGTACGTGCACAGTTCTTGTTCTCATTTGCAATGTTCTTTGTTTAGGGGATTGTGTGATCGAGACTACTAACCCTTCGACGGGTTCTCAAGCAACCACAGAAGAAATGTGCAAAGCACCAAGTTCTCATACAGCTGATTTTACATACAAAGGCTATCCTGTCAACTTAGTAAGTGCAATAGTACTCATCATATATCCTGTCTTCACCATCGCTTCATCATCATCCAATCATGAAATATTCTGTTGAACAATCCTATATTAGCATAACATATAGTGGTGTTCGTACTGCTAACACTCACTATTGSTTTGAACATCTTTTGCGCGTCGAAAGAGTCGTTATTCGAGCGACACTTTTATGTCGATAGATGTCCATCGGTGTTGACTGAAGAGAAAAGACAACAACCATACAAAGAAAAGGTCAACATTTCACCCAAGCATGCGGGGATCCACGACTAATACGTGCAGTCTTTTCTACGTCTGCTTCGTGTTCAAGAGTGTATATTGTAATTTTGAGTTTGGTTACCGACGAGGAACGATTCTTGAGAGTCTGCGTCCAATAAAACGGTTCAACTACGCCATCGAAATCATAATCACAATAAACGTAGTGTATAAACGAGGMTGGATATCGAGCCTCAGACCCCGATTAATAGTTCACTGATGAAGCATATACTTTTGGTGTATTTTCAAGTGATGTTGAAGTGTTACGAGATGTGATATAAAGGATAGAGCGAAAATAGAAAACCTTAGTAGCAATAATCAAAGCATTCGTTCCACTTCAAGTATTTTCRTAGTTTTATGGATGCATATAGTGAAATTGTATTTGTGGTTGATTACAATACTGAAATGTAAACGCATTTCTTGTTGTCATCAATGTGAAGGGAGATGATTTCCAGGTCACGTACTCACACCACGGTGTATACATACATCAATACAAATGACCATCGTGTGTTTATAACCTGGTTGTTGCGTTTTAACCATGACTAAGCCACTATTTTATTATTATGTTTTGGCGTTCTATAATCACTTATTAATCACGCATTCCCTTGTATGTTTTCGGCGGGAGTATTTGGTCGAACCTTTTGCTTCATACAGTAGTAATGATAAACCGGTTCATTAATAACTTAAAACCCTACTTGTCGATTTCAACATGTAATTTACTTACAAAATGGTTAGCAATCGTTTTTRCTGGGAAGTTAATATCCGCTGTTTATAGTTAGCTGATTCAAATAATGAATGAGATTTAAAGAGAGGAGAAAATAGCCAGGCCTAATACACTGGTATAGTAAGGAAAATTAAATCTCTTCTCAAGTCACAATTTTCCCCTTTTATCCTATTTCTAAACCATTTTTTCACTTCGTTCGTCATCTTCCAGTTTTTATATACCAAGTTAAATATGCTTTGTAAAGCTAACAGAACATGTAATGCATATAAAACAAAGATGTTTCATATTTTTATCTTGGAGATTGTTTGCTAACTTGAAATCAGTTTATTTGAACAACTCAATAAGTCGCTTTTTATTAACCACCATACCATCTTAAAATAGATCCCCAATAGATTACACTACAGGAAATGATGGACTATGCAATCTTTTTTTAATATATTTAAAAACCAAACAATGTAACTTGAGGAATACTCTCATGATAATATTGTTCAAAATGCTTGCAAATGAGTAAGTTACAAACAAGCTTTTTAGTAAGTGGCCACTCTCAAACTATTCAATGTGATCATTTCTACTACACAAATTAAAAGCTTTTGCAAGCCATTAAAAATACAGATCAGATTTTGTCCAATAAAAGTTGCTTTTAATAGAACTAAAATATTCATGCCAAGGTATACTAATTTGGAACCGCGTTTTATGCAAACACTGTAAGCAATGTAATTATTTTGGGGCTTAAAACTAAAGGTGATGAATTTTGATTGCATTTTTCAAAACTGTTTGTTTGTCAGAGATATCTACCCTTTGACCTGTCATAAACTAGGTAGACTATTGACCAATCACAACTAAAGAAATAGCTGATAATAAGAATCAAGTATCTATATATGTCTTAACCAATCACATTCAGTGCTTTACTTGCAACAAAATTGATATTTTCTAAATGAGGTACACGCCATTTTTCCTGACATGATTTGGCTATTTTTTTTTCTACTTTTAGTCACCAACAATTAATCTGACTCTCTCAATACTCAAAAATTGATCATCATATTTTATTTATACATTATTGAAGGTTTGGAGTTTTAGGTACTCAACTACTAACCTATGTTGTCAACTATAGTTCTATCAAAATAGTCAATCCTTTTTATAAGACAATTTCCATATTGTGATTTCAAGATTGCTGTTCAATAGCATTATGGTAACTTAAGCCATGTATACACGTATATATTTAGTTTTTTGATGAAATTTTTCATATATATTTTAGAAAGTATGTATATTATATTTTAGAAAGTAAAAATCAAATGAATGTGAAAGTGAAATGAATGCACATGAAGGCAATTTCCACTATTACGGATAAGAGTGATAGGCGTTTAATCTCAACCAACAACAACATCTCACACTGTGTAATAAAAGAATATTATAATAATGTCTTTATCGTTATTAAAGATAGATATGTACCTGATTGGTAGATAGGGGAAGCTCACATTATAAATCCCTCCTGTCCTGTCTCCCTCAGAGGTATAATCTGACAGCTATTAGCTTCTTTGTCTAGTATTAAAAGCATAAGAACCTTTACTCTATGTTGCTTTGTCATAATAATTTCTCATGTTTAACGAAAAATGAACAGTTATAATGATATTCTGGCTTTTAATTCAAAGTATTAACTCCAGGAAACACTCCATGGTTGTTTTGAAGCTATACTTTGAATTTTCAAATGTCTGAAAATTTGCTTTTCTATGAATACTGCAGCCAGCCCAGTAAGAGCATTTTAGGGGATTAACACCACATCTATGTGTGGCATTTGTTGTATGACTTATTATATCCTTCTTTATCCACAGGAAGAGCCTTTTGAGGTGGAAAAAAGYAAAAAGTGTTTATTCTATGATGACTATCCTTTGGAAGGTATGGTTCTCCTTATAGCACTGATCCAATTTGTATTTATTTTTGATCGATATTTGTATATTCTTCGCAGGATTGTATAAAATTAATTAAGGTTGGGAGAGAAAAATGATTTTAACCTTGTTATTTGAAGTAAAAATTGTTAGCAAGAACAGATATCTTTGCCTTACAAAAGTTAGAACCTTTTCCTATGTTACATGAATTTTGTAATGTCAATTGCTTCAATTAATTAACCCTGCAGTTAACAATTATCCRTTAACATAATGTGTTTACTTGTATTTTACTTGTTAATGAAAAATCAGTTTACAGCATATAGAATAAATRTATATGAAGTTTGAATACACCAACAGTGCACATTTTGGTAATTATCATCAAATTTCATAGTCAAGGGGATTTTATTAAATCTCTGCCATCACAAAGACAATCCTAATTTGCATGATATTTTGAAATGTTTCATTGATGATAATTTGCTCTGATGTATAGTTTTTCATAACAAAAAAAAGTAATTATATTTATTGACATTTAAAACAACAGATCACATTATTAAGCAAATTTTTAGTTTAGAATTATTGTATTTTAGAAAACAGCAGATAAGAAACATTTTGATACCTGCGAGACTTAGTCAAAAACAAAGTTTGACAGTGAGACCATATGATGTATCTTATATAGAGTAGAATAATAGAAAATAWTTCATGCAATTTTTATTAGGACATTTTGGCACATTTTTTACATTGTGGTGTGTCATGTTTTATCCATTATATGGTGTTTTCAAATAAAGTACTTTGGTCTTAAATTTAATTGATGTACCTTTTGATATTCAAAGAGTAAAAGTAGRGAAATTTCACCATTTAAAGACATTTTTTGTTCGTTGTAAGTTGTAAAAGTCTGGTACTGAATACATGCATTATAGTTCATTTAAGACAATRAAATCAATATCATGTTGTAATAAATATTGTTTTTGTTGATTGTAATCTTGCACTCTTTTTGCAGTGGTTGAGTTGCCTGATTTGCCAGATGGCAAGAAAATTGAATTGAGGTTTGAAAGAGAAGGCCTTGTRGAAGCATCAACACAAACAACAAAGCCAATCAAGGTCAGTTCAAAACAGCACATTTAACTCTAGTTGCAAACAAATAAATTGTTATAAAAATTATTGGTTAATATAAAGTTCTTGGTTATAACATACAACACTTGTTGCTTTGTAACTATACAAGCTTAATGTTATTTTAATTGGGTGTGTATGTCTAACAGGAGCTCAATGAATGTGGGATGTCAGTGAGATCGGCAGGATCAGACCATCTTGAATGGTCATACACACTKTATGACTTTGAAGGCAAAGGACAGGTTTCAAGAGATGTAAGTATTTTTGATGATAGGTTAAACAGGCTAGTTATCTTAATGAGGAGCTAATGCTTGGTTTGCAAATACAAATACATGAAATATATAATAAAAATATATTGGAATGGAAATATAATATGGTCTGTCTTGTTTCCAGGATCTCAAGAATCTTGTTAAGTCTATTTATGAGGTTCTTGGAAAAAGTGTACACCAATCAAAGACCCAGTCCAAAGATCCTCTCAAAAAGTTAAAGATAAGATTATCTGTGTCAAAGGAAAGAGGAAAAGCTAATGATACCAYAGAACCTTCTTCATGTCATGAGTATGTAATATCTGCTGTTACATCACAAGACCACTCCAAAAGAACTAGAAAAGGAACTTTTCACATAGAAAGATGTGATTCAATGACAGTTAATCCACCATCACCTGACAGTTTGATGAACATTGATAAACTTCATCCCATAGCTCAGGAAAAAACTCCTCTTGATGGTTCAGATAAACACAGCATGCAGAAAACAGTTTGTAGAAGGTGTGATCAAGGCAGAAGGTGTAAGCAGCCTATGGGACATGAAAGTATGAAGAGAAACCCTGAGTCTAAAGCCAATTATCATTGCCCAAAACGTATGCAGACAGGTCCTGGTGATTGTAATCCCCCAAGTCCCAGAGAAATGGATCTGTGTAGAGTGAGGGACTGGCTGAGTAAAATCTGTGAACCTCATGATGGYCATGAAATTGAGAGAATTGAGAGTCGGCACAGACACAGCAGAAAGTCAAGGCATAATTCTTGCAGGCAAGGACCTTGGGAACATGATTTTGAACTCCACAAGTGTCCACAGTATCTAGATCTTGCAACAGATCATGCAACTTATCCTTATCACGTCCAAAGTCATGCATGTCTTTATTCTAACTCTCCAAGACTACCAAGGCGTTCAAAACACTCTAAATCACCATCTCACAACTGTAAGCAGAGGGATCAATCATGTCCTAACCGAAGAACAATTGTACATGAACATCACCATCATCACAATCATCACCACTATCATCACTACATTGAGTAAAATACACCATTTATGAACTCCTATAATGTGATTTTGATAAATATAGAGACTATTATATATTATTACACTATTATATAGTCCATTTCCTATCTTTCCTTTTTTWAAATAGGAAAACTGAAGAGAAACAAAATATAAGATATCAAGAGAAGCCTTTAATTTTGAAATTCTTTATATAACTTAACTATTTAATACTTGATGTACATATAATATCTTAATCAACGTACAAAACAATGTCCATTGGCTTTGAGATTTAATAGCAAGGCTAAATAATTAAACATGATATTTATGTCATAGATTATATAGCCTCACCTTGTTACATTTACTACTTTTATAGCAATTAGATTATTAACAAAATCATATTATTGTTTGATTTGAACTGGTTSTTGAAAAACTACCAGTTGTTAGTTCACCCTCTGTTAGTTGCAATCAATTTACTGCTTACAATGTACACCTTTCAATTATTAACATATAGCATTCCTAATAAGTCTCTACATTATAAGGACTCGGAATTGTTAACAGGATGAAAAAACACTTACCAGAATATCTATCTTGCCTGTAAGTCTTTCTGACAGCAATTGTTGAGAATGACTAAAATGTTCGTTCAAAAAAACAAACAAACATAAATAAGAATATTAACGCTATTGATGTAAGAATATACAAAAAAATTGACCATTGTTCGTTCTAAGAACAGTTATAATGTAAACAAGTGCACTACATTACACTTAAATATTAAAGTTATTTGAAAAATTTTGATAAGTGATCTTGTAAATGTATTGTGTGACCATGTGGACTATCAGTACAGAGAAGTCTTGCTATCATGTGTGGGAAAATGTTTAGCAGASAATAGAAACACTTTAGTATGTTTAGAGCATCAAAAAAGGAATCTTTTATCAGGAAATATACTTTATAGRGCAGAAACTGYTGCACTGCAACTTCGATTGGGTTTTTCTGTAAATTAGGAAAGGAGCTTACAACAAAACAGTCAATGACTGAATGAGTTT